AGAACTGAAGACATAATAGCATGGAAATCATGAGTTTTCTTGAGAACATCAATTAACAAGCAAATTCTGTCATCCAGGCACCAGATAATTTTACCAGATCAGCAGAGTAGCTATGAGTTCTTACTGTCTCTCAGACTCATAGAATCATAGAACTGGAAGAGGCCATCTATCCCAGGTACCTGCCCCCAGGGCAAGGCCGGCAACTATCTAGACCTTCCCGAACAGGTGGTCATCGAATGTGCGCTTATGAATATCCAATGATGAATATTCTACAACTGTGAGACAGCTATTTGTCTAACCTGCTCTTAAGCAGCCCCAGTGATTAAAATTCCACAATCTCCCCAGTGTTTAGCAATTGTGACAATGTTAAAGATGTTTTTAATGTCTAACCTAAATGTAATTTGCTACAATTGTACGCGTTGCTTCTTGTCCAGTCATCGGAGGTTAAAGAGATTACTGTTTTTTCCATCTTGTTTGTAACACCCTCTTCATGTTTGAAATCTCTCTTCATGTCCCCTCCAAGCCTTTCTTTCTCCAGACTAAGTGAATCCTGTATTTTCAGTCTTTCCTCATAGGTCATGTTTTGTAGACTTTTAATCACTTTTGTTACCCATTGTTGAACTTTTTCCATTTTTCCACAGCTTTGCAGAAATGTGGTGCCCAGAACTGGACACAATACACAAGTTCAGTCATAATTAGCATGGAGCTGAGTGAATGCATTGCCTCTTGTATCTTGCTTACAGCACTCCTGCTAATACTTCCAAAGATTATGGGCTTTTGGTTTGCTTGGTTTTTGAATCAGTGTTACACTGTTGACCCAATATACTCTGTGGGCCACTATGACCCCTACATCCCTTCCTGCACTGCTCCTTCCTAAATAGAAATTTCCCTTTTAGTGTGTGTTATTTCCTACAGGAGCTGATTGTTCCTTCCCAAGGAAGCACTTTGCATTTGTCCTTCTTGAATTTCATACTATTTTCCTATGATCATTTTGACAGATTGTCCGGATTGGTTTGAATTCTTATCTTACCCTTCAAGACACTTGCAACTTCCACCACATGGGTGTAATCTACAAACTTTATCAGGGCACTATCTATGCCAGTATCTATAGCACTGATGACATTATTAAAAAGAACTGGACCCAGAACTGATCCGCCACTGTGAGATATTTCTGGGCAGGGCTCTTTATTCTGCCCTGGATCTTTCTCAACAACTGTTAATGCCAATGCTGTAAATTTATCTAAGTTACACCAGTTTATGTAGATATAATGCAGCTTGACTTACAACAGACTCCATACCATGCTGTGTTTTGGGAGGATTGTATAACAGAAATAGTGCATATTCAATCACCTGACACCATCAGTATAGACCAGCCTCAATAAGAATCCAGGATAGAATAGTCTTTGAGGGTCACGAAGTACAGCCATGTATATGAAAGTGCTCTTCCATTGACTTAGCACGTTTATAACATGCTGGCTAAATTAACACTGCTTCATTTATTACAGAGGTCTCAATGTAGCCAGTCATGTAGCTATGTTCCCAAGCTCCCTGTTGGAGTGCTTCCTTTGTGAATAAAACATGGGAAGAAGTAGACAGGCCCTTCCCCAAAACACAGAATGATTCTCTAGACTGGTTACTAGGAAAACCAATCTAGTGAGATGCTCAGCTTTGCCTCTTCATTCCAAAAGCTATTTAATTAGGGAGAACAACTTTGGAAGGAGAGATTGCATAAGTCTCAGAGCTCAATAGCAGATTGCTCCCTGGCTTAGAAAACAGGAAACCTGAGCACACATCTTTGCCATGCACCGGACAGAAGCAGGAAGTGAACATTGATCACCCACCTCAGAGGAAACTTCCTCATACTGGGCAAAAAAATTAAAGAGAGAGGACATTCCCAACACAAACAACTACATTGTCGGCTTTCAATCCTCTCCTCTCTCCTCTATACACACACAGTGGTTTGGGAATAAAGCTATTGCAGAATTTGTAACCTGCGTATGAATCTTTTCAGGTCAACCAAAACAGAATCACTTTTAACAATATATTTTTATTTCAGAAGAAATTTACCCATTTCTAGGGTTTTTTGTATCATGGTCATTGTACCTAACATTCACAATCTAAACAATTGATTTCAAGGCACTTTCTATATCTTAGACCTAAAGGGTTAAGACCATAGACACTCAGAACTAGTCTGGATGATCTTAGCTTCTATAGTCAACATTACTGAATTGATAAAGTGCTCCCATATTTGCTAATATTCATAGTAAAAGTAGAAGCGCCTTTCAATCCCACGCTTCCATATAATCCATTTACTATAAATACAAATATTTGAAAATTACCATGCCTTTGCAACTCTATTTTTATTTTCCATGCTTATTAATAAAAGAAACATTTCTTTGAGAATGCGGGAATTGTTTGAAATTTAAAAAATCTTAGGGTCTGTACAATGGGACATTGCTTCTGAACCATTTTGATGATGAGAGGCAGTGGTTTCAAAAGTGTTACCAGTTTATGGTACATCTGCGCAAACGTAAAAATCTGGATCTGCAATTCTTTCTGCCTCCTTTTCCCCATCTTTTACTCATAATAACCAGACTTGCCGGCCTTATAACAAGGTTCATAAATATTTGAAGTTCCTTATATGGCCCTCCTCAGTGTGGTACCTCGGAGCACCTCAAAATATTTATCGTATTTATTGTCACTAATTACATGTTAGCCAGAGCAGCATCATTTCCATTTTTCAAATGAAGTATTGAGGCACAGTGAAAGTAAATGTGCAAACTTTAAGAAGCAGAAGAGGAACAGTGGTGTAAAATCTATAAGTAGGAAAGTGGTGAATCCACCCCTCATTTTATACAGTCATGCAACATTCTTCAGATTCACCATGTAAATCTCACACATGAGCTGAGGACATCTCTCATTAGACTCTGAATTTTAACTATTCAAGAGAACTGGGTGGATTCCCTATTTGAAGATACACTCAAAGTTATGTACACTGCCATAAGCTTACCCCATATTTTACTGGCACCTCAAACATGAAGCCTGACCCCACAAAATGGGCAGTTTTACTTTAAACACATTCTTGGCTTCCTAAATTAAAGCCAGCAACAGGGATGGACAGTAAATCATTTACACATGGTGACAGTCTCTACATGTTACCAGGAATACTTTTAAAAGACTCAAAAAGAAACAGTAAAATAGAAAGAGCTCCCGAAAGGATATCAAACCCCACCATAGGCCTCTAAAATACAAGACAAAAGCACAACAACCATTGAACTATATAGGCCACAGACCCGCCATGCACTAATGTTTCACCTTAAACCCAAGGCAAATGCACACTCAGGTCAAGCAGTCATCCAGGAGCATGTGCTCATTCCCCTGGGCCTACCCACACTGAACTGTCCATGGTGCTGCAGTTTTCTTTAATCAGCCAAGAGTTCAGTGGTGCTGAGCTGATTAGCACAATCCAGAGATCTGGATCCTCGGTGTCAATAAAGCTCTGTCACATTAAACTGCCCAGGTTAGTGGGTTGACTTCATCTAACTGAGGCAGATTTTCCATGGATCTGGGATTTCAAATGTGAGCTTCTGAGACCACATGACATAGAACCTCACACACCAATTTCAGCTGGTTCCTCTCATTTAGAAACATATCCAAACTAGATTTCAAGGGGGTAAGTGTTATTAAATCCACCACGTCTCTTGGCCTTTTCCCCTTCTCGTGGTTGAAAATGGGCTCAGGTTCACACAATTGAAGATCGGGCACTTTGGCTCCAATGGAGGAGTGCTGATTTACCAGCTGGGGATCTGGCCAATGACTCCAATGAAGAGACATCCATGTACAAAGGCAAGGGACGGGGTCTAATAGGAAGTACCCATATTATGTCAAATCCTGGGACTAGTAGGAAGAGACTTGCTATTTGAAATCCACAGGACTTCACAGCGTTAGAACAAGCTGATGAAATCCCTGGTTATGAAGGATCCTATGCTGGTGAGATCCCAGCATTGAGGGACAGAGAAAGTGAATTGTCCCCTCTTCCATGGAATTATCTTTCCCATGCAAATCATGAGCTGTCAATTGAAATATCAAACTCAAATCGTCTAACCAGGCAGATAAGCAAGAGAGACCATCATGACTCATGGGGTGGAGTCCAGTGTAGGAGCCAGGCCCATGGCAGAAAATGTTGGAAAGTGGTATCTGAGGACCCTTGTGGTATTTGTGAGTCAAAATATTATATTTTTGGCCCACAGCACAAAACAAACCCTCCTTTTGTTGTCCAGGTTGACTCGTTGTATCCTCAGGGCATGAGTTACTTTGAATGTGTCCTTGGTTCCCTGAGCACATTAATTCGGTGTGATTAGCTCCTGAGCGTCAATATTCCCACTTGCTTTAGCAAGCTTGTCCCATAGGTCACAGATCTCGGTATAAAACTTCCTACACCCTTCAGATAAGCCGTTTCTTTCTCTTTTTTCAGTCACACCCCCATACAGACACCACGGTGATCAGCAGGTATGGCACTCAAGAATGTCAGCATTAATAATCCCAGCCCAAGCTCCTACCAGATCAGCTAAAGGATACAAAAACCTCTTTGGTTCGAAAAAAGGGGCAATTTTATCTTCACGGAAGCCAGTTCTTTCTGTTGGTTTTCCTACCAACTAGAGAAAAAGCCATTTTCAGCTGCTGAGATGCATAATTAGCACCATGAGTATACTTTTCCCTAATCTGAGATGCTGAGCCACAGAGCTCCCCTTGCCCAAAGAGACTATAAAGACTGATATTCATTTGCTCTCACCCCTTCTTGTGCTAAGGAATAATTTCATCACACTGAAACGGTTTTCACCCTGATTCTCGCCAGAGCAGAGTCACAAGTCAGGTTCATGATATCCATTATGAACCTGGAACCCTTCCTTTTCATTTAGTTATATCAAAGGGAGAGTACAGGTGGTGTTAGACATCCCCTGCCCATATCACTGTAGCTTCCTGATCTCAGCACAGAAGAGATGGAAGAGGGAAATTACTCAGTGGTGACTGAGTTCATTCTCTCAGGACTGACAGATCGTCCGGAGTTGCAGCTCCCCCTGTTTTTTTTCTTCCTGCTCATTTATGCTGTCACTATGGCAGGAAATGGGGGGATGGTGTTTTTAATCACAATTGACCCCCGACTCCACACCCCAATGTACTTTTTCCTCAGGAATTTGTCTTTCTGTGATTTCTGCTATTCCTTTGTTATTGCCCCAAAGATGCTGCAGAATTTCTTAGATGAGAGGAAAAGCATTTCTTACACTGCCTGCGCTGTGCAAATGTGTTTTGATATCACTTTTCAAGATACTGAGTGTCTCTTGCTGGCTGTGATGGCCTATGACCGTTATGTGGCCATCTGTAACCCGCTTCTCTATACAGTGACCATGTCTAGGCAGCGTTGCAACCTGCTGGTGGCTGCCTGCTATGTAATGGGGTTGGTGGACTCAGTAATTAACACATATTTTATATTCCGGCTGTCATTCTGCCACTCCAACATTATCAATCATTTCTACTGTGACATGCTCCCTCTGCTGGCACTTTCCTGCTCTGACACCAACATCAATGAGATTCTGCTGTTTGCGTTCATGTGCTTGATTGTAGTGAGCAGCATTGTGACCATCCTCCTGTCCTATGTCTGTATCATCTGCACCATCCTGAAGATCAGCTCTGCCGAGGGCCGGCACAAAGCTTTCTCCACCTGCACTTGTCACCTGACCTCTGTGGTCATTTTTCATGGCACTCTCCTCTTTATGTATTTCCGACCCTCATCCAGCTATTCTTTGGGCACCGACAAAATAGGCTCAGTTTTCTACACGCTGGTGATTCCCATGTTGAACCCCCTCATCTACAGCCTGAGGAACAGGGAGGTGAAGGACGCCCTGAGGAAAGCCATGAATAAACTCCTCAGCAATTCTTGAATCATTTTAACTCAGTCCTCCTTTTGCAGTCGGGTTGGTTTTATGATATAGTTGCAAGTGTGAAGTGTGTGATTTCTGCAGTTGAATCAAAGGGAGTTTTGTACACACTCCTGCAATTCTTTTGCTCTTTCTGTGCTCTATGCAGTTGTTATAGAAAATGTTTATGTCCCTGCATAAGGAGAATGGTGATTTTTATCGTAATGGTCTATATTGTAGGTAAAGAGCACAGAACGAGACAGACTAAAAAACGTGCCATTTTAGAGTGCCAAAAAAAGTGTAATGAGCACAGCACACTAGCTTCATCCTAAACCGAGTCACAGAGCAACACAGCTCCCCTTGCCTAAAGAGGGCAGAGAGATTGACTAACATTAATCTTCTCGAACTAAGCAATAATCTCATTTCACTGAGATGGTTTCGTCCTGATTCTCCTACAGTGAAATCAGAAATCACTGTTTGCAGCTGGGATTAGTGAACAGGAGTGTTTGTGTGTGTGATATGGTTAACCTGCATATACTTGTATTTGTAGAGTGTGCATTGTATGAAACACGTGGAAAGATCAGCTGTGAACATCTGGCTCTGTGGACTAAACCCTTCTTTCAGGTCATACCCATTTTTCATCACTTTGGTACAGAGAAGAGACTCATTTTCAGAGCCACCCACCTGCCCAAAACTCTGTAGCTGCCTGATCTTCACTCCGAGGACACTGATTACCCTTTGAGTTCATTCGCTTAGGACTGATAGATTGTCCAGAGCTGCAGGTCTCTGTTTGTGTTGTTCCTACTGATCTATGTTGTCAGCCCGGTGGAGAACGGGGAGATGGGATCTTGTTAATCAAGATTGCCTCCCGACATCTCACCTCATGTACTTTCTCCTTGGTCATTTGTCTTTCTGTCATCTCTGGTATTCCATGGCACTATTCCTTAACAATTGCCCCCAAAATGCTGCAGCATTCCTTAGCCAAGAAGAAAAGCATTTCATACACTGGCCATTGGCAGCTTTGGAACTTGCTGGTTGCTGGCATGGATGGGGTGGCATTGGTGGATGGAACAAAAGGCACGTACTATATATTTCGGTTGTCATTCTGCCACTCACACATCATCAATCATTTCTCCAGGCTGTATGAACCCATTACTTTCAGTGTGCCCTCATAGGTCAAGTTTTGTAGACTGTTAATCACTTTTGTTACCCTTTGCTGGACTTTTCCAGTTTGTCCACAGCTTTCCTGTGGTGCCCAGAGCTGGACCACATACTCCGTTTCAGTCGTGATCAAAATGGAATAGAGTGGAAGCACTGCCTCTTGTATCTCACTTACAGCACTCCTGCTAACACATCCCACAATAATATGGGGTTTTTTACATCAGTTTCACAATGTTGACTCATATATAGCCTGTGGGCCACTCAGACCCCTAGATCCCTTTCTGTGGTACTCCCTCCTGGACAGTAATTTCCCATTTTTTTTGTGTGTGTAACTCATTGTTCCTTCCTATGGGAACACTTTGCATTTGTTTTTATTAAGCTTCCTCCTATTTGCCTATAGTCATTCCTACAGTTTGGCAAAATTATTTTGAATTCCCATCTTATCCTTCTAGACACTTGCAACTTCTCCCAGCTGGGTGTTCTCTGTAACCCTTATCAGTGCACTCTCTATGCCAGTGTCTATAGCACTGATGAAAATATTACACAAAACTGGACTCAGAACTGATCCCTAAATGTGACATGTTTCTGGAGAGTGCACTTTTTTATTTCCTGGATCTTCCTCAGTGACTGTTAATGCTTATGCTATAAGTCTAAGTTATTCCACTTCATGTAGCTGTAACTCACTGGCTGTGTCTAGACAGCATCCCTTTTCTGTAAAAGGGATGCAAATTAGACACATCGCAATTGCAAATGAAGCGGGGATTTAAATCCCCCCCGCTTCATTTTTTTCTGGATCGGAGCTTTGCCAGAAAAAAGAGCCAGTCTAGACAGGGATCTTTTGGAAAATAAAGCCTCTCCCGAAAGATCCCTTATTCCTTTTTTTAAGAGGAATAAGGAATCTTTCGGAATAGGCTTTATTTTTTCCGAAAGATCCCCGTCTGGACTGGCACTTTTTTCCGGCAAAGCTCTGAGCCGGAAAAAAGTGGCAGCCATGTTTATGCAAATGAAGCGGGGGGGATTTAAATCCCCGCTTCATTTGCAATTGCGATGTGTCTAATTTGCATCCCTTTTACGGAAAAGGGATGCAGTCTAGACACAGCCACTTTGAATTTGCACTACTTCTGTTATGCAACCCTCCCATTAACACAGTATGGGGTGGACTCCCTTGTAAATCAATCGCCTGACAGCATCAGTGTAGACCAGCCTTGATGAGAATCCATAATAGAACACAGACTCTGAGGAAGGGAGCATTGATGTGCAAGTGCTCGCCCATTGACTAAGCACGTCTTCAACATGCTAGTTAATACATACTGCTTTGTTGATCCCAGCGGTCTCGATGTAGCCAGCGGTATAGATATGACCTCAGTCTCCCCTGTTGGAGCTATTGTGTTGTGAATAAAACATGGGAAGAATCAAAGAGCCAAAAAAAAGGAGAATGATTCTGTAGACTAGTTACTAGGGGAACCCATCTAAACAGTGAGATGCTCAACTTCATGTCTTTATCCCAATGGCTATTTAGTTAGTTAGAACAACTCTGAAAGGAGAGGTTGAGAGCATCTCTGAGCTGAATAGCAGATTGCTCCCTGGCTGGGATTCTTTCGGGAAATACAGGAAACCCAAGTGCACATCTGCAGCCAGCACTCAACAGAAGCAGGAAATGAATCTTTATCTCCTACCTCAGAGGTGAACATTCCAATATTGCACAAAAAATTAAAAAGGAAGGCTGGAACTCCCATTACCTCCTACCTCTGGTTGCTTTGTGACCTAAATCTTCTCTCCTCACCCCAAACACACTCCATGGTTTTGGGACAAAGCTCTTCTAGAGTTTGTTATACATCTGTGAATATTTTCAGCTCAACCTAAAATGCATTGTTTTTAGCAGGACATTATTACCTGATGAAATTCACCCATGTATTATGGTTGTTGCACCTCATGATGACAATCAGAAAAATGGGGTATAGAGACTTAGATTGCAATTCATTTCTATATCTTTGAACTAAAGGGGTAAGGGAGTGGAACCAAAGAACTGTCAGACTAGGTGATATTAGCTTCTGTAGGAAACATTAATGAATTGATAAAGTGCTCCCATATTTGTTGATGCTTATCATAAAGGTAGATACATACTTCACTCCCAAGCTTTCATATAATTCAATGCACCATAAATACATTTTTTTAAATAACCATGTGTTTTTACAACTCCAGTTTATTTTCCACATTCATTGATGAAAAATTAACATCTTTTCTTCAGAATACGGCAATTGTGTTAAATAACAAAAAATCTTCTGGTATGTACATTGTGTAAGTGCCTATTCTCATTCAATTGTTTGGAAGCAGTGTTTTAAAAGCACTTACTAGTTCATGGTATATCTGGAGAAATATGGATCTTAAAGTCTTTCTGCCTCCCTGTGGCCGTGTCTGACTGGCAGTAACCATACTTGCCTGATTTATAACAGGGTTCACAAATATTTGAAGATCCTTATACGACCCTCATCAGTGTGGTACCTCGGAGCACCTCAAAATCTTTATCACATTTATTGTCACTAATTCCATGTTAGCTGAACTAGCATCATTTCCATTTTTCAGATGAAGAGCTGAAGCACAAAGAAAGTAAATGTGCAAACTGCAAGAAGCACAAGAGGAACTGTGGTATCAAATCTATAGGTAGGAAAGTGGTGAATCCACCCCTCATTTGATACAGTCATGCAACATTCTTCAGATTTCCCATGTAGGTCTCACACATGAGCTGAGGACATCTCTCATAAGACTCCAGTCCTGAGTTTTTAACTATTCAGGGGAACTGAGTAGATTCCCTGGTTGAAGATACACTCAAAGGGTACGTCTAGATTACATGCCTCTGCTGACAGAGGCATGTAAAATAGGCTACCTGACATAATCAATGAAGTGGGAATATAAATATCCCCGGCTTTATTAAAATAAAAATGGCCACCTCGCTTTGCAGGCTCAGCTGATCGTCGGCACAGTGCATGAGTCAAGATGAGGATCGGTCAACAAGGGAAGCCTTTGTCGGCTGCTCCCTTATGCCTCATGAAACGAGGTTTACAGGAGTGGTTGACAAAGGCTTCCCTTGTCGACCGATCCACATCTTGACTCGCGCGCTGTGCCGATGATTAGCTGAGCCAGCACAGCGCGGTGGCCATTTTTATTTTAATGACTCCAGGGATATTTAAATCCCCACTTCATTGATTATGTTGGGTAGCCTATTTTACACGCCTCTGTCGGCAGAGGCATGTAATCTAGATGTACGCTAGTTATGTACGCTGCCATGCGCTTACCTCATATTTTATTGACACCTCAACCATGAGGCCTCTCTTCCCATAATGGACACTTTCACCTTAAATCCATTTGCTGCTTCTTATATTAAAGTCAGGAACCACCAGTATCCAGGGTGGACAGGAAAACATTTACACATAGTGACAGTCTGTTCACGTTACAAGCAATACTTTAAAAAGACACAAAAAGGAACACTAAAACACAAAGAGCTCCCAAAAGGAAATGAAACCCCTCCACAGGCCTCCAAAATACAAAACAAAAACACATAAACCATTGAATTATATGCCCCATAGATCCATCATGCACTAATGCTTCACCTTAACCCCAGGGCAAATGCAGGCACAGGTCCAGCAGCCAGCCAGGACCATGTGCTCACTCCCCATTTCTGCCCACATTGAGCTGTCCATGGTGCTGCAATTTTCTTTAGTCAGCCAAGAGTTCAGTGGTGCTGAGCTGATTGGCACCAGCCAGGGATCTGGACCATCAGCGTCAATAAAGCTTTGTCACCTTAAACCACCTTGCTTAGTGGATTGACTTCATTTCACTGAGGTAGATTGTCTGTAGATCTGTGA